AATCTCAACGGAGTCGAAATGTGTTAACAACTACGGGTGCATTGATTGTGACGTAGTTCGAGACACATTTTCACGACGTTGCAATTCTATAAAAAATAAATGATAATAATACAAGCGGTTTAAACTTAATAAAAGCACATAAGTCATAACATGTATTTAAATAAGATATTTAGCCATTATAACAATTTAAGCGACCGTGCTAGAACCACGGGATTCGAGGGTGCCTAACACCTTCCCTCGGGTCAACAGAATTCCTTACTTAGAATTTCTGGTTCGCAGACTTCATTTGGAAAGTCGAAAATTTCCTCGATTTGGGATTCAAGATAAACCGGTGACTTGGGACACCAAAAGCCAAACCTTTCTCAAGTGGCGACTCTGAAATAAATAAATAATCCCATTTCGAATATTGTCACTTAAATTGAAAAAAATCCCTCGCGCATTTTACCTTTCGGGGCGGGCGCGCAAAAAGGAGGTGTGACAGTTAGTACTGATGGTAGCTTTAGTAAGGAAAGTGGAAAAGCAGGCATCGGTAGGGTGGTCAAGGACTGTCATGGAGACCTCATTATGGCCTTTTCTGAGCCCAATTGTGATAGTAATAACATGGCGGAGGCAAAAGCGGCTGAGTTTGGAGGGAAATGGTATAGCCAAAATGGATACACTAATTTTTCTCTTGAACTTGATTCTATGATTATTTCCGAGATGCTTACAGAAGAGATACTAACAACTTGAAGATCAAGATGGTGATTGATAGAACCTCCAACATTGTTCAACATGCTAGAACTAATGTAAAGCATTGCTTTAGAGAAGATAACCAGGTAGCAGATTGTCTTACAAAGTTGGCCACTACCACAAATCAGAGGAGAGTGTTCCACTCATTCCAACAACTGTCCAATAGTGTTAAATGACCTTTCCTTTTAGATAAATGACAGCTTCCTAGTATAAGGACGAAGTACGAAAAATCTTATTTTTTTTCGCCAGTTAATATGTTCATTGATTCTCAGGAAGGAGGGCTTATATATGAACCTCCTTTTCTGTTATTTTTTGGGTGATGGAATCACCGTTGTATTTTTTTTGAGGTAAGGTCTAGTCCCCCTCTTGCGCTTTTTTGAATACAACACAACCTAGACCTCCGTCTGGGAAATTTTAATTTAAAAAAAAAAAAAGGAAAGTTTTGTTTACCTTTGCACATGTCACTGATTGAGAATCGATCTGCCTAACTATTATTCCAAAGTTTTGATTTCAGTAAAAAAGAAAAAAAAAACTTTAATATCCATGCACGTACACTAGAGAGTTGGTTGCTTCTTTTCTTTGATTTTGTGATTTGGTCCATGCACGTAAACTTTTATATCCATGCATTGGAACTAAATTTTTTAAGTACTTTCAAACATATATGGTATGGAATAAATAATTCTATAAGAACTATATAATCAATAATGCAAGAAAACAAATTAACAGAAAATTTTTAAAATAAATAAGCGTATTAAACAGTAAAGTACAACAACTTTATTCCATATATAGTCTTATGCAAAAAAAGCAATATATTACCAAACAAAACATTATGAATAAAGGGACACAATTTCAAAATATGGTTATTTTTATTTTACAATTGATTGCACGAGTCAAAAAGAGAAGTAAAATAAGGAAAGATCTAGGCCATTGGTGTCTATAAATAATGAAGTATGTGCCTCTTTTACACAAACTGAGATAGGCTTTGTTAATGCAAGCTTCCTTTCGCTTTCAGTTCTATTATGTTCTTTATTCTTTATTCTATTCTATAATATTTTATCTTTTCTTATGCATTATTTTTATTTTAACCATATTTCCTATTACGTTCATGGACAAAATAATATGTTTCGGAATAAGAAAAGAAAAGAAACTGTTAAAGTAGTAGAGTAGCAACCAAAACTCTAGCTTTATTACCTCTGATGTTTTGGTTTAGTAAATTTATCATTAATGTTATTTAACTTTGTTATCTTTGCATTCACAGTGGTTCAAGTTTGACATATATACCGAAAGCAATAATGTCTTCCTCAAGAGAAAGCAATGAGAACTTGAATGAGTTGGAACATGTGATAAAACAGATACAAGAGAACATATACCTCTTTTTCTTACCAATATTTCGTACTCGCTTTTAAATTATTTTGTTAGTAGACACATTGATCTCTTCATTACATGGCACAACTCACAATATTCAAGAACTTCTGTTAACATATGCCTTAATAATACTAGCTCATAAATTGCACTTAATGTAACATCATATGCATGAACCCTCCATAAAGGGCAACCCGGTGCACTAAGCTCCTGCTATGCGCAGGGTCCAGGGAAGGGCCGGGCATTACCTACGCATAGATAATCTCTTCTAGAGCACCTTGTTTTTACTAGTTAACCCGTAGCCGAAAGGAAACAGAGGTTCATAGGAGTTCTGTTCTTGATGCAGAGGCAATTGATCTACACTTTTAAACCAAGTCATTGGAAGTTTACCTTGGAACTCATAATCTCCAAAGACGACATCAGTGATACCAGCTCCCTCAGTGCCCGGTAGCCAAGCAGCGACGAAGGCGTCCATTTTCTCTAGAAGTGAAGGCTCTATATACAAAGGCCTTCCGGAGATCAATATCACCAATGTAGGAACTCTGTCTGCAACCAAACTTATTAGTTCTTCTCCACCAAGAGGAATTTTGAGGTCTTGGCTATCTCCACCGCTCTCGCAATAAGGAGGTTCACCAACAACTACGATGGAATAAGAGAAGTCTTGACTCGCAAAAGTTTCAGGTGATGGATTTTCCTCATATACCACTTCTGTTTCCCCTCCAACAGCATCTTTAATAGCTTCCAGAATTGTTGTACCTACAAGAAATGATCCTTTATAAGGATTTCTGGTGATGATTTACTTGAGAAAGTAAGTCAGTAATGTCATATTTCCATATTACTCCATGTGTTTTATTTTATATATGGCGGTGCTTGACTGTGAAAGGAAGAGTAGTCAAAAGCAAAGAGCACAAACAAGCACCAGCGTCTGTTGGAGCTTTAAGCGCAAAGCTCAATTGAAGTGTGGGCTTTACCAAAGAAAAGCTCGAATGAAGAAAAATAAAAAATAAAAATGCAAGGCAAGAAATTGTAAGTATAAAGAGAAATAATAATTATCCGGACAAAAAATGGAAAAACTCAAAGCGCACAGCATGGGCTACACTGAGGTTCAGGGCTTAAGCGCTTTATGTGAGCCTTTAATAATACGCCGTAAAGCACATTATACGTCACTTAGAACAGACTAAAAAGGAAAGAGTGTCATATAAACTGGAATACATGCAATAAGTAATCACTCACCAATTGTGATTCTGCCACTCATTCCATCCCAAGTTTTAGTCCACCCTCCGCATTGGAATCCAAGGTCATCAGCATGTTTTCCTGCTACAAGAATTTTCTTTGCATTCCTCTCTAGTGGAAGAAATGGTTTTGTTACATCCTTTCCATTCTTTAGGAGAACTAACGACTTCCGAACAGCCTCACGTGCTAGTTCCCGATGTTGCTGAAACAATCATCACAATGGTAGAAAACTAGTATGAGACATGCAGCGCCACATGCACATAAACTCCATTCTTTTATATTTACAGAACAAACAGAATTAGCAATATATAAGGGCATTGTAAAGACAGGAAAAACAGTCTGTCATTTAACATATTTAAAACCTTTGTAAGTGCAATAAAAAGCAGATGCTCACTTTGTTAGCAATAAAAGCAGATTACTTCAAGGGTGTTTATGGTATGGAGTTAAAATGGAAAACTAAATGGTTCCCAATTTTCCCTATGTTTAGTAGGTTAAAACATTTTCTTTAGGAAAACAAGTTCCTTAAAAATCAGAAAAATGACTTAACTGGTGGGAGTAGAGAAAACAAGTTCCATAAGNCACCCCCATTGTATTTGCCTAGATATTAAATAAACATTCTTGGGAAAATATTTTCTGCTTACTTACCAAACACCAAAAAAATAAATAAGAAAACCACTTATTTAAGTATTTTCCAGGAAACATTTTCCTCCATCCAAACACACAACCACTTATTTAAGTATTTTCCAGGAAAACATTTTCCTCTATCCAAACACACCCCAAATAGTAGGTTACACATATAAAAGGTATAAAGGGCTTATTTGATTTCATAATCCAAGATAAATAATTCGATAGTCTGTCAAAATGGAGGAGAATATAAACTTACATTACAACCAACAGTGTCCAACAATGACCGATCACTCAAAGGATACTCAAAGGCTCCAGCAACAAACTTAACTCTCAGGATCCTTTCAACAGCGTCATCAATTCTGGTCATTGGAATCTTCCCAGATTCCACAAGGCATCTCAAATGATCGAGAAACAATTGATACCGAAAAGGAACCATCACCTGCAAAATTGTAAGAAGCCGTAAGGAGAGAAACAAGTCATGCAAATAAATCTTAACTCTGAATACAAGATTTTGTTTACCATATCAATCCCTGCATTGATGGCTGCCAAAATACATTGATCGTAGTTAGATCCATGAGGATGGGAAAGCCTGTCAAGTGCTTCGGAATCAGTAATAACAATGCCCTACAAGATTTAGCATTAAGATTATTGCAGTGTATGCGATCCTCACATTCTTAGAAACATTAGTGCATAGCATTTCATTCCACTAGAGGAAAAATGTAAACCAAGTTTTTGCACTTTTTGATTTGATGAAGTTTTAACTAAGCTAGTCCCAAGAAGCTTTGCATCAGAGAATTTTTTGGTTTTACTAGAACTAATTTGGTTTTGTATGTTAGAACAAACTCGTGGTTTCGGGAGAGCTTTGGATTTGTCTTCTTGGGTAAAGTACCACCAGAGACCTAAACCAGCTTTTGAGGCTATCCTATATGCAAAATTAATGGATTAAAACTGACTAAATAACTTCATACTACTGAATGTATTCCCGAAAAAACGTACGGAAAATAAAATGGAACTAATGTAGACAATATGAAAGGCCGAGACAATAAGTCCAAAGCACATTTGGGCTTCAAACCAATTTGGTTAGTTTCTATCTTGTTTTATCTTCTTTTTAAACAATGATTCTGAGTACAAAGCGCACGCTTGATTTGGGTTGAAATCCAAATGGGCCTTGAAACCATAATATATCCAATCACTTCCTATACTAAGCATAGTAGTAAATAAGAAAAGAATCTGGCAATTTGAGGAGTTATATGGGAAGACGTGAAGTGATGGCCCAAAAGCATTGTATAGTATTAAGAAAAAGGGCTCAAACATGCCACATGCAAAAGCCTGGTATTTAAGCGGAGAAGGGTAGAGGTAAAGGCCTATTATCCACCGAGTATCAAACCGTGATCCCCTTGAAGATTACTCCATTATCTAAGAAAAAGGGATAACCCTTACCTTAAATCCGAGCTTTCCTTTCAACACTTCGGTAAGAAGAAAGTGGTTAGCATGCAGGTGGGTCCCATTCCATCTAGAGTAGGACGCCATGACTGTGCAAACTCCCTGAGAAATACAGTCAATATAAGGGGTGATATGTATTCTCTCTAGATCATCAAATGATGATATGGTATTTCCCTCATTTACACCTTGGTCAGTACCCCCATCTCCGACAAAGTGCTTCGCACATGCAACAATCTTGTCTCTGGAGTAAAATGCATCATTCAGTCCAAGGAAATTCATGGCATTAAGAGAAAAATATGCAAAATCAGAAAACCATAAAAATGATCAACAAAAGAGGTAACAGCTAACAGACATTTTTCAGCACTGAAATCTATTTGAATTTGTAGAACGTTGACTTTACTACCTTCCCGCTAAAAAGGGATAGTTTTTGGGGTAATCAGGGGGTGGTTTCCCTTGCAATCCTGTGATAATTGAGGACATATTCTTAACAAGTTCAGTGTCTTCACCATAACTCTCATAACATCTTCCCCATCTGGGATCTCTACATACCTATTTCACGTTATTTAGATGAAGAAGTTAGTATGCATTAAGATAATAGATTTAGAAAAAGACAACAAGAGAGATGGCAGTTACGAGGGAAGGGGAACAGGAAAATCTTCACCAAGAATTCCCACAAAGAAAAATGACAATTCATCTTGTCTCAGTGTGCAACATACTAACTAAACAGAAGCTCTTGGAATTTAATTTTTTTTTTTTAGTATTAGTTCTACAAAGCAATGCATTTGAGAATGGCTTTAAATTGAGGTTCTTTCTACTTTTGTGATAATCATGAGGAAAACAACTGCTTGGTTGCTTAGAAACAACAATAACAACAAACCCAATGTAATCCCACAAGTGGATTTGGAGGGTAGAGTGTACGCAGACCTTACCCCTACCTTATATTCCCAATCCCAATCCATGCTACAATGCAAGTTACTCTCCAATATACCCCACTGCAATTTATATTGAGCTCCTTCCATTCAAATGTATGATACACTTCGATTTAACGACAACTTTCAATGATTCATATTCATTAAATGATACAAATAATAAACTTTGAAGTGATATGTTCCTCTACCAAACTAACTCTTAACACACAACTTTAGTATTCTTTCATTATTACTAAGACGATACTAAGAGAAAGTCAAATTACCATCTTAAACTCCAGTTTTCAGTTAACTGCTGTCCTATAATACGAATGGAGGGGCCGAGGGAATGTCTTCTCTTTTTTTTCTTCATTTTGCTCCAAGGGTTATTTATGTCTGGTGTTATTCACGCTTAACTTCATTCATCCATGAAATCAACTTAAAACAAAGACAATGAAGTGATAAGTAAGATGTTCAACTTACAGCAACACATGGAGCAAAAGTGTAATTAATGCCACATGCCCTGACTTCAAGAGCAGTTACTACCCCAATCTTTTGAGCCAAGTCTGCATCTCTGCTCCACATTTTATCTAATTTAGGTTTTGGTCCTAAAAGGAAGTTGAAAATAATAAGTTGGTAACAGAGATCATAGATTCAACCTGGTTGCCCCGAGGCCCACATTTTGCGGGAAAATAGTTGCACCATAAACATTGTTATTTCCATGAATAGCATCAACTCCATAAAGAAGCGGAATCCCGAGCCGCGATCCCAATGCAGCCTTTTGGTATCCGTCAACCATATCCGCCCAAGCTTCTGATGGGGCATCCTCAAATGGCCCACTGCCACCAACGCTGAGTATACTCCCTGCATAACAAAAAAGGTTCACCTAAAATTCAATCAATCAATATGTCTCAATTCAAACATAAGTTGGGGTCAGCTACACAAATCCTCTATATTTTCTTCTCTCCACTTAGGTCTATTTCATCTTAAAAGGGCTCTCTAAATCCCAATCTTATCCTAAATAGATAACTATTTAAATCTTAACCAGTTACTATCACCTAAATGAATCCTTTATATTCATTTCGCTCTATTCAGTTTCATTTCATTTCTTAATATAAACTAGCTTAACCCAACCAGTTAACTAGCTTAACCCAACCAGTTAGTATCACCTAAAAGAATCCTTTATATCCTTTTTATTTTCTTTTTGATGATGAAAAATGATCCCTCTACCCATTCTACTCTATTCAAGTCCATTTTACTCCAATACTAAATAAGCGATTAGCTAAATCTCACACTTATCCAACTAGTGAGTATCACTTTTTTTTTTGTTAAGGTAGGTAGTACCACCTAAATTAATTATTCATGAGTTTAAGTTCTATACATTGAAAGTATAAAAACATATTTGCGCACTCAAGTCACTAAAAAGGTAGTTGCATTGCATGTAATCTCCTTAAAAAACATTCATTTAGTAACCAGCAACAAATGGTAAGTAACCTAATTAAACACGATAAATTTCACCAATCGTGTAAAATTGGTGTAATTTAACTTGTTACAGTGGTCGCTTAACCACTTATTTTAAGTTATCAATAGAGTTAGCTGCAATTTCACCTTGTGCATTGACACTATCAATGCACAAGACTTAAACTCATAACTAAATCTATTTCTTTATAGAGTTTAAGTTCTCCGCACTAACATTGTAAGAGTTATTTACACATTTAGGTCACTTATTATGCAATTACAGGTGAATCCCTTGATAATCTTGTAAAAATGGCAATTAACCTACTATTACATGTTAAAATTCACTAGTAGTATGAAAAGAATCTTTACACTATAAGTTTAAAAAATAATCGAAATTTAGCCACTTTTTCATGTAAAGATAAAATCTGAACATAAACACCCTTAAAATTCCATGCTGGAGTTCGAATTTTTTACATACGAGATTCTAGCATAATGTGTTAGAATTTCAGAATGTGCTGGAAGTTTATACGCAGGAGCTACATAATGTATATTATGCCGGAACATTCCATGTTTCAGCTAAAATATTGGCTATTTTTCGATGTCTTTGCAAACCCCGACTATTTTTCGATTACCGGTTCGAAAACTGGCTAGCCCGTGGTATTTTCGCTTATTAAAGTCCATTTCCTTCCAATACTGAATAAAGGGCTCTAAATATCACACTTAAATCTACACAGACAACTAATTTAATCTCATCACCTAATATGAATCTCTTTGCTTTTAGGACAAGAGGAAATTAAAAAAGGGTTTAAGAAAATGTGCACCTATTGAGAGGTCTCTGATAACAGAAGGAGTGGCGACAGTGCGTTCGATTTGGGTCATTTGACCGATTTTTTCTTCAAGTGTCATCCGAGAGAGCAAATCTTTGACTCTTGCCTCGATTGGAGTAGATGGGTTCTTGTAGATGCAATCATCCATTGCTTAAAGTTGAGAATATTTTTCCTTGTAAGTTTGTGCTCGAGATTTATAGAGAGGTCAATTTCTGTAATGACTACTAAGTAATGAATTGAAATGTGGGATTGACTGAACAAAGATGAAAAGTGGAGTTAAGCTAAGAAGAAAGGGAAGTGAAAAGTGCAGACAAATAGAAACTCATGAAGAAGTAGGTACATATTGGTTTGACCTATTATGTTTTTGGTTAGTTTAGAGTCTACCTTTAATAATAAATTTTTACAATACAAATATTCTGTATCCCTTTTTTTAAAAGTATTTATTTTTCTTTTGTATTTTCAATCAAACAAATTCACATAAATGGGAGCAAAGGGAGTACAAAGAAACAACAATTTGTGTCCAATTAGTATTTGAAGATCCCAAAATAATACGCGAAGAAGGTATATTTTTTTTGTACATTAATGTATACTTCCTTGAGTCGTGCTTACTAAAAATATTTGTCTCAAATTATTTATCATTTTATAAGTTCAAGATAAAATTAATTATTTTTTTCTTTTTTACCTTTAATAATAATAGATGGAGATAACACATGTATAGAATAACCCCTTTTAACTTGTCTTATTTTTTCAACCATAAACCTTAAGTTTGTGGGTTCCTATACCCCTAACATATTCAAAGTGAAATTATATTACCACCCCACGTGACTAAGACCAGATTTTAGTTGGGGAGTGATACTCACGCACTACATATGTATTGCCACGTCATTTTTTTCTAAAATGTGATTATTATTTTTTGCTTTCTTTTTCACTTTTTCTCTCACCATCTTCTACTCGTCATATTTTCATCAAACTAAAATCACCTGATGAATCATCACAAAGAAACCACCAAATCTAAACCACTGCCAAGCCACCAACGTCCAACTAAGATATCAACAAATCATACAGAGCTTATTCCCAAAAGTGAAGAAAAACTGCGAGAACCCTAGTCTCATTTCCCCTTTTCTTTCTTATGTAAATAATGGGAAATTTAAAACCTTAAAAATACTATTATCCTCGTTTATGAATAAATTTTTTAAAGCGAAACAATTTCTCAAAAGTGATGTAGTGAATATTGTGACAAGAATATTAGACTCAGAAAAGAAAAAATATATATTTGTCATTGAAATAAATTTCTGGAGAAAGCATAAAAGATGTCCTATTGTTTTCTATAGCTCAACTAAACATTTTTTTTATGATCTGGGTTTTATTTTCTGTGGCTCAAATAAATAATTTTAGTGAGATAAAAGAGTTAGGTTTGTGGTTAGTGAGATATAAATGATGGGTTTTTGAAAGAATGGAGAAAATTTTATAGATGGAGTGAAAGAAAAGTGGAGTAATGGAGCTTGGCCGATCAGAATGGAGTTTTTCGATCAATGTTATTGATTTTTTGGTCAACAATCCTTTTCTATTTGCTTCTCACGCGTCAAAGTTTGACGGAGAGTGTAATCACTTTTTATGTCATGTCAGGTAAAAAAAGGTGAAATAATTCCAAATCAAAATGGTTTAGGGGGTTGTAAAATTCACACAAAGTTTAAGTTTGTAATTGATAAAATGAGACTAGTTGAGGGGTAATTATGTGTTCTCCCAATATTCAATGAAGAGAGATTATATCTTAAGACATAAATAATGGTAGAATAGTTCTGCCCTTCGCTTAATTAATATTTTCTTAAGGGGCGTATAAAAGAGAAACATGACACATAATATGAGATAGAGGGAGTAATAATCTATATATATAGAAAAGGTGACTTGACACCTCTCTTAGACTAGGATTGCTATTTATCTTTTTTCTCATTTTTTTAATATTTTTCTTTTTCATATTCAATTGTTTAGGCCTCTTTAATAACATAATCTCATGTTCTAGCAATCCTAAAATTCTCAATATCCAAAACCGTGCCAGTTATCATTTTCAATATTCTAATCATAAAATTGAATTGAATGTTGCAATTAAAACAAAGGAACTTACTAATTCCTCATCTCTTCTGTTACGAATTTGGCTACCTAATTCCTTTAATGTGTATATATATTGTGGATCAATTACTATTTCTTTACCTCTTGTGTTCCATGTAGTTCTCTTACTCAGTTTTGTTTTGCTCTAATATATTATAATTTCTTGAGTTGGGTCTAATAAATATTCGATATTTGTTTATCTTCATTTCAAATTTTACTTTGCAATTGTGCACTTTTCAATTCTCAATTACATCATCTCAAGTATATCTAGATTAGAGGTGGCAAAATGGTTCAAAGAAAACAGTTAACCGCCCATATTATCCACTAAGAAATGGGTTGGATAATGAACTTTTTAAAAATGGGTCAAATATGGATAAGAACCATATTATCCATTTAGAAAATGGATAACCAATGGGTCTAACTTTTACATTTCTAAAGCCTCAAATTGGGGGTTCCTCAAGTTAGGGAGACTAAGAATTCTCCCAAAGATATCATATACAAGAAGTCATGTAACCCATATTATCCGCCGGTTAATCCGCTTTTTATCCCGCTTTTTATCCGTATCAAATATGGGTCGGATCGGATAATTGATCCGTTTTTTATTACCCGTTTTCGATCTGAACCATATCCGATCTGACACGACCCGACCATTTGCCACTCCTAATCTAGATATAATGTTTATAACTTCTTTTTCCTGACTTGCATTTTATATTGGTATTTTCTAGAGGTGTAACTCTGGAGGTAAGTATGTTGTGATGTCCTCTCAAGTTTTTATGAAGATGCTTCAAAGACAACAACATAAAACGAGAAGAAGACAAGAAAAGAAAGAAGGATACTATAATTGGGTAGATACAACTTGACGTGATAAGGTATCTTCTGAAGAAGTGCCAAGGTTACCAAAAGAAGATCTATCAAGCTAATACTTTCATTCGAAGGTATGAAACTATTGACACTTGGATTGCTCCCTCTTAGAAAGCTGGTAAATATTTGAAATTAAATTATCTATGTATATCCCTCTTCGGGCTTTCATGTTTCTCATTCCTCAGGATATTATAACATAGAAACTATTATCTTAAAGTAGGTGAAGCAAAATCAGGAAAACAAATTTATGACATAATTGATGTGCTGCGGGAAGGTATGTTTAATAAATAGCTTCATGTGGATAATTTTCATCATTGTGTTCTGAAGATCAGAATTGCATGTTATAATTTTTACCTGTAGTAACTTTTTTCCTTTAAATAAACTTTATTACATTACATCTTATTGAATTAGTTTCTTATAACTTATATATTTTTGTACAATCTAGTATAATGCTTTTTGAAAAAGTTTATAACACTAATATATAGAAAAAGCTAAAGGTTATTCGAATAGTCCTCTGTATCAAAATTAGAGATGCACAAGTGTTTTCTAAATTAAATATATGATGATCAATTTCGAAACTAAATCTTGATCAATAGTTATGTTGCATAATATATTTTATTCTACATTGAACATCTTATTATATAAGTATCTTAGTTTTTGTTGTCCGCTATTTAGGCAAACACTAGACTAACCGGGAAAAAATATGATTTAATCAATTTATAGAATTAATTTGTATGCATGTATATGCAAATTTTATCTTGGTATCGATTACTTTTATAAATACAAAAAATTGTAATATAATATTTTTTTATGACCGCACGAAGCGCGGATGAATTTACTAGTTATATATAATTAGTGTATTTTTTGTATATTTAGCAGCAACTATAATTATTTTTGATCGAATGAATAAGTATGTTAAAAGCCCGTTTTAATTCTCTTAAACTAATGGTTCTGATTCTATCGTTAAATTAGATATTTAGGGCCATCTCTAGGAATATTTCCCTTAATAATTTATGAATATTTAATGAAGGATAAATACGAAGTAGAGTTTTAATCAAAATTATTGCATTCAGCCAAACATTTACACACTAGCTCCGCCCCGTGGACCATCTTCATAGCGCCCGCTGCTAGAGTTCATGGTTTAATTTGAATCATTTGTAACGATAAAAGGTCAAAAATTGCCTTGTTATTATATAGAAAATATTCAATTTTATCTTTACACTTTTGTTTTATGCCTACTTTTATTGTTAGCAAAGCCATCTTATATTTATCCTTGTCAGTAAGAAAATTTCAACGTAGAAATGAACGGACTCTAATAGGAAAATCATATTTACTTTATAACAAACCAGGCTGATCAGGTGATCCATTCTTTCCCTCATAAGCAAAACCATTTTGGATTCAGTTCGAGAAGCAATGGATAAAAGTGAGAGTATCTAAGAAATTTCATACGCCAAAAAAATTTTGGTTGTCAAGATTTCTCTTTTGCCATCATATTACGACACAAATCGCACTAAGTCATGATGCCACCCAATCTTGCAAGGTAAGTCAATTAACATATAATATTATCCAAACCAAAAATTATCAATAAAAAAAATAGAAAATCTGATACTAACCACCCCAAGATCTAGTGGTATAAAATATGAGCAACTACGATTTAGGTTTACAACTTTGGTAAGAAAAAAATACATTATATGTTTGAACATACATAAACATAAATACAGAATTCTGGGCTACCATGAATAAATGTCAGCTAATATCTGAAATGTTGATATCTTCAATGCTCGTCCTCAAACGTTATATCCGATAAGCTTCAAAATCTGCATGCAAGGTGCAAAAACTGTAATATGAGTACAACCAACCTTATGAACTCAGTAAGTATCAACACTAATCTNTATATATATGTAAAAACAAAAGACTTGCAGACATCAACACAAGAAACCCTAGCCGTTGGAGTCTTCTCCGAGCTTGCCACTACTATCAACAGAATTACGACTTAAGTTTTTTTTAACTGAAATCAAACTTTAGCATTAATAAAAGTTAGGCAAATCAATTTTTAATCAATGACATTTGCAAGTAAAAAGTATACTTCCCTTATTGTATTTTCTGAAATAAAAATTAAGAACAACAAAATAGAAAGTACTACTAAAATATAAAACTTTGAGTCCTAGTAATAAATCTAAGAAAAATCCTAATTTTATGAACTTTGTAGTATCTAAACATTTTAATAATAACTAGTAATGAATGAATGAATAAATAAATAAATGAAGAACGCCATATCGTCATTCTTTCAGGAACCCCAAAATTCTTCAGTCCATCTTCGAGCTTGTCCTCGTTATCCTTTAACTTAGATCAAATGAGGCCTCGAATATTTGTT